GGGAACCAAGATACGGATATGGTTCTGAGTGACTGCCATCTCTACCCCCTATCCGCTACAAACCAGTCGGTTCGGTTGAAGTATTCCGTTTTTTATACATTAGTCACAAGCTTCATGATGAGCAACTGAAAACCAGCGGATCCCCAAGAGTGACTCGTTCAGAAATTAGAAAACCAAACTGAAAGCACGTGTTACTTATATAAATGGTGCAGAACGTGCACGAACTGTGCACGCATGTGTGTGTGTGTGTGCGTGCGCGTTAACCTGACATGCAAACAAACAGGGGTTAGTATCTTAACCAATCATGATAACATTCCGGTCATGACTGCGTGTCCTTTCATTCTATCCAATTGGCCAATCATATCACTGGATTAATGCACACAACAGGGGATTAGGTGCACCACAGAGTAGGAGATCGAATTGGGGACATCGTAATTGTGCTTTCGTCGATTGCACGCTTGATCACATATGCAAAAACCAGCTCACTTGTCCGGTCCAACTCGGTACGATTAATTGGAATGAGTTCGGCCACACAACATTCCTTGTTGAATGTGCATCTGAATAGCACCGGATGTCGTAAACGCGTCTGGTCGGAACCAGATGATCCGCACGAGGTTCATCGATCCCACCATCCAAATTCGGATTGTAATTCAACCGCTTATCCACCACCCGGTTCAGCAGATTCCGAATCCGCGGGCGACTTCGTTCCAATCAAACGAATTGCCAACGAACGGGAACGTTCCCGGACAGCCAGTGTGAACGATGCTTTTCTGATGCTTCGAAGTCTAATACCCACGGAACCGATGAATCGGAAATTGTCTAAAATCGAGACTCTTCGTCTCGCCTCATCCTACATTTCCCATTTGCATGCGGTCCTCGTAACCGGTTCGAATCCTGCGGATCAGCCATGTCTGAGACATCAGCAATTAGCTCCAACCATGTGCAATCTGAACCAATGTCCCATGTCCGCATGTACCGGTCCGACAGTGCATCAGCAACCGGATCGAACCCATCGCCCGGTGTGTACATTTTGTGTGACCGAGATGAAGCAGCATCAACGTGCAACCCATGAGCGTGCGAAAGATTTGCATTCGACCACGTCAACAACTCCATGAGTTGTGTATACTTGACAAGCACACTGTGCCTATATTCCACTGTACAGTTACCCCTTCCTTCTCCTCCCCCACTATCCAACTCTGTTTCACCTCACTCAAGTCACAATTCCAATTCAATCTGCCAAAACGTGTATTTCGTGAGCTACATCTTGTTTTGATTTCTATCCGCTGTTTCCATTGAACTGGTGAGTTTCTGTTCCATGCCTGATCCTCAATCAAACTGTCGAACTCATTTTGTGTTTATGACACACAACTTGTGTATGGTGATGACCAGTGTGCATAGCGAAAAGATTTCACAATTCATAGTTGTTTTTGTTTGTTTTTCTGTGTTACACAATTGCCACAGACTGGAAGTACCGCGTATTTGTTCGAAACGAGACTCTTTAACGAAAGGAAATTTGTTCGAATGTGAGGTCAGTTATTTCTGCATCACAGGTTTTTTTGCCAGAATACGATAGAACGGAAACGGCCAGGCATTTATATATAACAAGTATTGAGTAAAGTATGTCTGTAACGCGAATAACAGGTTTGGCATCGATATTTGGATATGCATTTGCAATGTGAGTTCCGTCCTGGAAAAAGTGACCAGGAAGATAAGTGAAAATAAGAAGGAAAACAGACTTAATTGTAAAATATCCCCCCCCACCCCTGTGCATGAACACTGACATTTTTCCTTGTTTAAACCAAGTCACTCCAATCTCTAAGCACTCATGTTGGATGAATTTTCAGCTTTCTACATTACGGTGAATATTCTGCATGGATTTGAGTAGTGAAATGCAGAATTATTTAGGCAAGCAAATGTGCATGCAGTTCACAGGTTACTTTTTCCCGATCGACAAACTGAGACGTGGTCAATAAGGGAGAATGAAGTTGCGATAGGCAGAAGTACGAAAGTATAAAACGTGCCGGATATGGACACGTGCCTATATAATTCACTGTTCATTGTACAAAGAGCATGGAAGTCTTCATAGACAGAAAGGTGGAATTCGTTAAATGTACCAATGTGTTTAGTGATAGTACTAACAGCAATGATCACTTTAGGAAGTCCACTGCAAGAAAACAAGAAAAATTAACTGGGGGAAAACATAAGTAGCAGTGGAGAATGATGCAAGCTTTCGTAAACCCAATTATTATCTTTTAGTCTTAAGGAGAAGAATGACAGTCTCAAAAATTATCCCCAAATATTCCACATTGAAGAGTCTGAGCATTAGGTGACCGTTGACAAGGAAGCAGTAAAAGACAGTTCAGAGTCCAGTATGGCTCACCGGATTGCAAGAAAAAAATCACATCTTGAAATTTGGCGGTGGTCAGAATAAGAGATCCCGATGAGATGAAATATCGATTTGATTTTTTTTAATTAATTTATTAAATTCCTCTCGTTGAATATATGAACGAAATGACCAAAAGTGTTTGAGTTCTCACATCACCAGGGGGTCCTACCCGCCACGTCGTTATCATCATCATCGTACAGCGAGACANCAGTGAAGGGAACTTTACTGATCGCTGCCAAACTCGTAATGCATAAAAAGTGATAGATAATATGTAAGGTCGACATATGTCAAGGGAATGAGAAGAAAGCGAAACTCTATGATCAGACAGTGTTTCAGTTTCAGTTTTTTACGACCATTATCCATACAGTTTCATAGGCCGGTTTTGGTTGCTATCTTTTGGCCGCACATTAGAATAAAAGATGGGAATGTTGAGAGCCCATTCAAGGGGAAGATAGAGAATTCCTACGGACTGGGATTGTACGAATATTGAGTAGATGCATGTTTGTGACAGTCATACAAGTCACTTAGTGTCCCTAATCACCGATTGCCATGATCTCGAATTCTTCATCCAGGGTGCCTAACGTGGCCTATATACCCAAGTCTCCTGGGTACGGTTTTCATTCCCACATGCCCAGGTCTTAGTTTAACCTTCCTTAACCTTTTCCATCCGCAACCTGCCTCGGCAAACATCGCTCGCCTATTTGATGACATGCTCCAGTGTATGACTTCTAATACCTAGAACTCTGCATCTAAACTCCAAATTGCTTGTCCGGTTTCCCCACAAGGGTAAAAGACATGGGTGATCTTGGTTCTGCATTATTTGATACACCAATATCAAGTCTTCTTGAATGCGATGATACTGTGTGGAGTACAGTTGCAATGATTCCAGTCTTTCCGCGTAACTCTTGGAATGCAGTACCTTGACGATGTTGGTGGACGTTCCAGAATATTCAGATCGCGTTGCAGCCATGGATTCCATGCTCGAATCGCACACTCCATGTGGGGCGGAATGTATGCTGATAACAACCGTGGAATCAGCGTGCGTTCGAATTTGCCAAATACTCGCTTTAGGAAACCAACATGTCCTACAGCGATGGACGACGCCCGGGAGCAGTTTAAACAACAACTAAGGTCGTTTTGTACAATAACACCGAGATCCTTTTCATTCGAGACATACGGAAGTTGTTAATCTCCCAGGTATTACGGAAACCGGTTTTTTTTGGCGAAGGGTTACGACCATACATTTTGATGCATTGAATTCCATGTCGTTTTCGGTCGACAATTGATAGGTAGTATTAAGTGTTCTCTGAACTGCTAGCGGGTCCTTCGATTTTGTCCTCGTTTTCCATAGTTTTGTATCGTTTGCAAACAATAACGGTTATGACCCCAGACTGTCCGTTGGGTCGTTTATAAAAAACAAGGAAAAGTTAAGGGCCCAGCACGGATCCTCATGGAACTCCTCGTACCACGCTGATGTGATCGGAATGTATGTGATCATTAGATCCACAGCTGCTACTGCTGAAATTCAATCCGGTCGATCTAGCTACGTACGTCGTACCTCAGAGCTTTTCAGGTTCGGTTGAGTTGTGCGGGAAGAAATTCACTAAGCTCTCTGATATTTTTGTTTTGAAGTAATTGACAAAACTCTATTACAGTCAGCTGTCCCATAAAAGAATTCTATATTCCTCCGATTTTACCGATAAGAATTTATTAGTTATTAATTAATCAATTTTAACAATAAACCAAGATGATGCTAATCATATTGTAACTGAGGATAGGATTATTCACAATGTGTGTGTGTGTGCGAGTGTGACTGAAAACCTGAGATTGAGTGGCTTCAAAAGATGGAAGAACAGGAGGACACTACGTAAGATACATGGGTTCTGACAATGAAAACATATTGGTGAATGAGTGAATTCGATAGGCCCAGATCATGGTGATTTTCGATCAGTTTAAGTCTAAGTATTTTAAACGATACTACAGATTATCATACGAAGGATATCATTTCAATATTTTTTCAGTTTCAGTTTATCAAACCCATGAGTTCGCACTTTCGCGTCACAGTTGTCAGTCATTGCTATCTTCCGATTATTTTATTGGATAAGGATGTGGAGGGAGGGAGCGTGCGAGCGGAGGCAGGTAAATCAAAATGCTAGAAGCAGTTTTATAAAAATTCGCTGAAAAAAAATTTTCCGTCATCTGTCTTGAGAATGATCGAATAGGAACTGGAAATAAAATAAGCCAGACATAACGGGATTCATTACATACAACAACCCCCTGTTACGGCGACTGAAGCAGCTTGGATGAATATGTAAACAACATTTTGATGAAAAAATAAGTTTTTGCGAGTGGCACTCTCGTTCCATTTGGCTATTTAGTATTATTCCTGTAAAAAATAACAGTTTGGATTTTCGTTTGATTCCGGCTGGGTTGAGCATTCACATTCCACATTTTCATTTCCCATTTTACGGTCCGCCTGATGAGGATCACGGTCAAGTATGTAGAAGAGTTTTATTGTATCATTGTACACTTTCAGATACCGTATTATACATGATTTCACTAATTGTTCAGTTCGCGATTAAAGAAAACGTATAAATTTCGGGATCAAAAAGTTATGCGATTGAACGATACGCGTGTGAGACCATTCTGAAAGGGTGATCGTAATCGTCCCATAACCCCAGCTGATATTTCAGTGACCTTGACCGATCCAACACCGTCAACTGATTTCGATTGTTGCCCCGCGTAGTGGAGTATATATATATATATATCTATATATATATATATATATTAGATATCAAATGTTTTTTGTCATAACGTGAGGGTTAACTATATGAGCTCTTTGGAACCAATCCCGTAGTGGTGATTATGCTCTATTTGTTCACACCCAGCCCGTTTGTTTATGGCACTCGAATTAGGTCATCTTGGTCGGCCGTGTGATATTCGTGTGTTTGTGTGTGTGTTAATTTGTTCAGGTGATGAACACCATCCATTGACAGTGGACGCAAACGCGAACAAAATAACGCGCGAATGTGTGAAGCATAAACACATCTTCGATACATGGCTTTCACTGGACCCTTTGTGACCGTGTATTTGTGTTTCTCCATACTCCTACCCGCACCCCCCGGTGTTTGCGCTCCGTTTACACACACACATACATACCTTCTATTTGTCACTTGTGTGCCGAACATAAAATGTACACTTTTGGGGCTATGAACCTGTCCCAACCGTGCATAGTTGGCTACATCTGCGACGTACCGATTGAAGGATGTTGTTTTCGGTTCGAATGTATCTTCACTTCGAATTTCCCTATGAGTCTAATCAATATGTGTGCATATGTTTGTGCAGGGGCATGCGTACACTTATGAATCACGCATAAAGTGTTAGTCCGTTCTTTTTCCGTTAGGAAAAGTTCAGTTAGGTGTATAACTTACAGACCGGAAAAGAAAACTAACCAACCGACGGACCCATCCCAGTGCACTTACTTAACACTGGATTTCTATATAGTAAATCAGGGCATCACTTTCGCAATTGTGTATTGTGTCTTTCACAACAAATACAAGGGTGTTCAACTTCGCACTTTATAGAGATAATCGAGGTTATTGGGTTAGGAGCCCTAACCTATGCGCCCAAATACGTTCGGTTCGGACGCTTCAAATTACGTGATCGGGACCGATTGATTCCGCTGTCCAAGCAACTTGAGGCTGAAAGGTGTAATTAGACCAATCAAAT